GTTTAATGAAATCACTGCCCATTCAGTTGGTTGCTAGTTTGAGTAGGTTACACCCCCCAAAATTTGGTGTCCTAAAAATACTCATGGCTAGGGTTTGCATAGGGGGTAAGTTTACATTTTGCTGTAGAAGAGCCTGCGTTTCTTTTAGAAACTACTTTGCTTTGAATTTTTGAATCATTTGATGGAGGGCTAATATTGGAACTTTTGCCTCCTAAAATCTATTGACCCATTACGACGTGTCCTTGAGTGTTTCATAAATTAGGACAAAGAAAAAGGCTGAAATGTTAAATGATGCATTTCTTCCAGGTTTGATAATTTAAAAAATTCCCCTCATATTTCAATTAAAAATATACGCTCTAAAATTTTACAGTTTAAATCACTCTCTTGGACTACTAACTAGTGGAGAGATTTTCTAATTCATAGTCTCTAATAATTAATAAAAATCGTGTCCACTGTGAATATAAATTTTAAGAGAATCTACAGTACCCCTTTGTCCTTAAAAAATTTCCTAACATTCTTATCATCTTCTAAACAATTTTGCAGGCATTACAGACGAATGCACTTCCTGTACTTGATATGTGTAAGCAATGGTTGGCTCAGTATATGTGATGCTATGCATGCTTCAGGCTTTTGTTTTGTGTAATCTGCTGCTTCTATTCTGTGTCAAAAAGCTCATCTTGCACAATAGGAGATAGATTTTCTGGGAGCCAAGAAATAATTTCCTTGGAAACCTGCTCCTGATTTTTGATCAAACGAGGGATTCGAGTCATAGAAATTCTCAGCAATAGGTGAGTGTAAAGTAGCGAAATTGTGAAGGGAGAAAGTTGATTGCAATGATGTGTATATGTACATGTGTGTTTTTAATTTCCATTTATTTACAGCTGGTCATATATTTTTTGTTTGGCCTGCGTCATGTCTATCTGTTTTGGAGTGTAAATTTCAATTCATTGGGATTGGTTGGAGGTTCGGATTGAGTATATATCAGACGAATTTTATTGCGATCATCTTTTGTAGCCCAACAAATTTATTCAGTGCACTCTCTCTGTTTCTCTATGATTTATTCAGTGCACTCTCTCTGTTTCTCTATGTGTGTGTGCCCGCGATTATTGGTTGGATGTACGTGTTTGTGGCCATGATGCCTCACATCATGATGCCCGTTCGTTTTCTCAGTGGTTTTTAAAACAAACTTCTTGTAGACTAATAATATATGTGATTTTCTAAAAAATTAATGTCATATTCACTTATTTACCTATTACCTCTCCCAAAATGAGATTCTTCTGCAATTATAAGAAAATTCTTTTAAGAGTGATTACTATTTTCGATGAGCAGAGACATGGATTATGTGGGGGTCATTTTTTCTCAAGAGGTTCATGGGAAAATTCGAGTGTTGGATTAAAAATACCAAAATGAGTATTTTTAAGTGTTGGTATAAAAAGGTCTCAATTATTGTAAGGTCACAATTATTTGGACGAGATAAAAAGTTTCAAAATAATATTTCTTGAACAATCTGCCACATTTTATTTAGGATTTTATATCCGACGGTTGAGAGTGATTGATACATCACTGTATTAAAAATAAATAAATTTATACACTACAATCCTTTTTTGAAAATATTTAATGTTGATTGTAAAAAGGACGAGGTTTCCTAGGGTTTATGAAAACAAACTAAAGCCTCACCTCACATCCTCGTTAAAAAAGTACTTTCGGCTATGAAAAGCTCCATGATGGTTCTAAAATCAATTTTCAATATCGACAAAGACATTTGAAATTAAAAAAGTGGTACAGATCGTGCGGATCTATAAACATTTATTCGGTTGAAACAGACGATCTAGATAATTTGTTATAATATATACTATTTTTAAAACTTAGAAATGTTCAAGCCAATATGATTTACGTTAACGTCTTCTAATGCTTGAATAGCGATGAGGATTTCTAACGCTTGAATAGCAATATTCGATGAGTTATGACCTGAGGGTTTCATTGTTAATTGTTAATAGGGCAGCAGCTGCAGCTATCAAACTATTTTCCTTATTAATCAAATTAGAGCCGACTTCAAAAATTTCACTAGAAGAGGTTGTTTTGATGTCTAAATATCATCAAATTGATCATCTCAACATCAAGATACATGGATGTGAAAAAAAAAGTGGATTTTAAGTTTTGAAAATAGCGCATTTTGTAACGCATTTTTGGACTGTTAATTTTGAAGATTTTCAAGTTTTCATAAATCTGCTTGATCTAAACTATTTTCGAAGCTTTAAGTGTTACAATTAAAGATGAAAATATATTTTAAGGCTATCTCGTAGATTTTCAATATTGAAACCGTATTTCTCGATATTATTTGACGTTAGTCTTATACAAATCGCACCCTTTTGAAAATACTAACGTAGATCGTAAAAATTCGTTAAAGTAACTTTTTCATTCTTAATTTCTTTTTTCTTGAGGATAGAAAAATGAGTAGCTTTGATTTGCCTTTTTGTTGGGTGAGTTCCATAAGTATCCATCCAGGATCCCGCGGGAATGAAGTGCAACTGATCACCTTAGAACCCTCAGAGAGGAAACCAACATGTCGATGGGGTTCCATTCTCGCTCTAAAATTTTCTCCACTTTTCTCCTACTCTCTCTCTTCCATTTTGCTCACTCCAAAAAACCCAACATTCTGTTACACTCTGCCTACTCTCAGCTTAAGAACAATGGCTTTCCCTCGGGTCTTTTGCCTGCAAATGTTCTTGATTACAGTTTGAACCAGACATCTGGTGATTTCTCTGTTAAGCTTGGAAACCCATGTCAAATTACTCTTCCTCCTGATAATTACCTCGCAAATTATGCGAACACCATTACTGGTAGGTTAAGGGAAGGGCACATAGCAGAGCTCAATGGAATTAGGGTTAGGGCTTTTTTCAGGTGGTGGTCGATTACGGGGATCAAGTCTAGTGGTGATGATCTGGTTTTTGAGGTGGGGATGGTCACTGCTAAATACCCATCGAAGAATTTCGTTGAGAGCCCTGAGTGTGAAGGCTCGGCATCTTTGCAATGAGGTAACTCTCTCTCTCTCCCTCTTCTCTCTCTTATTTGGATTTTCCATGTCCGTTTGATTCTTTGTTGATTTTTACCTTGTTTTTTTCATGAATTAGGGATTTGATTGTGGCAATTATGCACTTGAAGTTTGTTTTCTTTTTTGTAACTTGTTTTGCGTTCTGTGATCACCGAATTATAAATAGTAAATTTTAGTGATTCGCCGCTGATATATAATCTGTCTCTTTTACTCAAAGAAATTGAAATTTTGGATGAATTTTGTTATTTATTTGTTTACCACACTAACCTGCTCTCTCTCTCTCTCTGTCTCTCTCTTGTTTTTTTTGTATTCTAACCATTAGTTGTCTTTGTTCATGTATGGATGTACGTTATGTAAGGGTGCGGTTTGTATAGAGCCTAGGCTCTAAACAATCAAATTAGAGCCTACCTTCAAATAGTGTCGATAAATGTGGTTTCAATACTGAAATTCTTTGTGACAGCCTTAAAATACATTTTCATCTTTATTTATAAAGTTTAGAGCTTCAAGCTTCAAGCTTCAAAAATAGTGTTAGATCGATATATCTATGAAAATTTGAAAATCTTGAAAATTGAGAGTCCTAAATGCATTACAAAATACACTATTTCCAAACCTTGAAATCCATTTTTCTCTCATGTCTATGCATCTTGATGTTGTTGTGTTTTGATACCACTTGTTGTGCTCTAATACCACTTGTTGTGCGCGGAAGCTCTAAACTCGATGGGTTAATATTTGGCAAATTAAGTATAAGAAATAAACCATGCAACACATACAATAAGAACACAAATATTTATGTGGTTCACCCAAGAGAGCTACATCCACGGGCACAGCAAACTGAAATCCACTATACCAATGACAGTTACATCAAAGATTTTGGAACAAACCTCGACAAAAAACTCAAGTCGAGCAAATCTTTTTAAACCACTCTCCATTCCTTCTCTTCTGGCAACCATTACCGACAACACGAGATAGAGACGCGAGAACAATGAGAGACTAACTTTCTCTCTAACTAAAAGGGAAACAACCCAAAATCTCTATGGGAACCGCTTCTTTACAAGAAACCAACCTAAGTTTCTCTCTAACTAAAGGGGGAACAGTCCAAAATCTCTATGAGAATCGCTTCTCTACAAGAAATTACCTCTCATTCTGCAGGAGTCTTTAGGAGGCATAATCAATGTTTCTTTTCATAGGAAGTTGTTTTCTCTCTAAGAGGAAATCACATTTTATGCACAGGGGGCCTTCCTTCCCCTCTCTCTAGAGGAACCACCATTCTCATATGGTGAACCAAATAGGGTAAAACAAAATTCTCTGCACTTTCATCCCATATATATAAGACTAGGAGTCCATTTTTCCATATATATATATATAAGATTAGGAGTCCATACTAAATAGAAAACTTCCTATTGATGTTACATATATCTCAAACCAAAGAGATATATCAATCGAAGAGTCCTAATCTTTTTGGATTTCTATTTCAATTAGGAAACTTATCGATATCAATCTCAATCCCTATGGGAATATCTGAATCCCACATAATTTGGAAATATCTCAATCCCACAAAATATGGGAATATCTCAATCAATCTCTATTTCAGGAAACTTATCGATATCAATCTCAATCCCTATGGGAATATCTCAATCCCACATAATTTGAGAATATCTCAATCCCACAAATATGAGAATATCTCAATCAATCTCACAAAATAAGGGATTTCTTTATGTAGGTGTTTTAGGATAGCAACAAATCCAACAATCTCCACCTTGATATCAAAATCACTTGTTCACTATGCCAACATCCGTTGGATAGCTTCATGGATTCTTCATCTTTTGTCAAATAATTTTCTCCACCATTCTTGTTGAAACATAGTATTTGCCATCAAATTTCTCCACCTCGAACGTTGCATTCGAAACCTTTATTGCCTTACCGAAAGCCCGAAATTAGGCTTTGATACCAATTGTTGTGCTCTGATACTATTTGTTGTGCGCATAAGCTCTAAACTCGATGGGTTAATATTTGGCAAATTAAGTATGAGAAATAAACCATGTAACACATACAATAAGGACATAAATATTTACGTGGTTCACCCAAGAGAGCTACATCCAGGGGCACGGCAAACTAAAATCCACTATACCAATGAAAGTTACATCAAAGATTTTAGATCAAACATCGACAAAAAACCCAAAGTTGAGCAAACCCTTTTAAACCACTCTCCATTTCTTCTCTTCTAGCAACCATTATCGACAACACCAGATAGAGACGTGAGAGCAACGAGAGACTAACTTTCTCTCTCACTAAAAGGGGAACAACCCAAAATCTCTATGGGAACTGCTTCTCTACAAGAAACCAACCTCTCACTTTGCAGGCGTCTCTCGTTTGGCAACCATTATCGACAGCACCAGATAGAGACACGAGAGCAAAGAGAGACTAACTTTCTCTATAACTAAAAGGGTAAATTTTTCTCAAACTGAAAGGGGAACAACCCAAAATCTCTATGGGAACTGCTTCTCTACAAGAAACCAATATCTCACTCTGTAGGAGTCTTTAGGAGGCATAATCAATTGTCTTTAGGAGGCATAATTAATGTTTCTATTCATAGGAAGCTCTCTTCTCTCTAAGAGGAAATCTCATTTTATGCACAGGAGGCCTTCCTCCCTCTCTCTCTAGAGGAACCATAATTCCCATATGGTGACCCAAATAGGGCACAAAAAAGTTCTCTGCACTTTCATCCCATAGATATAAGATTAGGAGTCCATACTAAATAGGAAACTTCCTATTGATATTATATATATCTCAAACCAAAGAGATATATCCATCCAAGAGCATTAATCTTTTGCGATGGGGAACAACCCAAAATCTCCATGGGAACTGCTTCTCTATAATAAACCAACCTCTCACTTTGCAGGAGTCTCTCGTTTGACAACCATTACCGACAACACCAGATAGAAACACGAGAGCAAAGAGAGACTAACTTTCTCTATAATTCAAAGGTTAACTTTCTCTCAAACTAAAAGGGGAACAACCCAAAATCTCTATGGGAACTGCTTCTCTACAAGAAACCAACATCTCACTCTGCAGGAGTCTTTAGGAGGTATAATCAATAGTCTTTAGGAGGCATAATTAATGTTTCTCTTCATAGGAAGCTCTCTTCTCTCTAAGAGAAAATCGCATTTTATGCACAGGAAGCCTTCCTCCCTCTCTCTCTAGAGGAATCGCAATTCCCATATGGTGACCCAAATAGGGCACAAAAAAGTTCTCTGCACTTTCATCCCATATATATAAGATTAGGAGTCCATACTAAATAGGAAACTTCCTATTGATATTATATATATCTCAAACCAAAGAGATATATCCATCCAAGAGCCTTAATCTTTTTCGACTTCTATTTCAATTAGGAAACTTATAAATATCAATCTCAATCCATATGGGAATATCTCAATCCCACATAATTTGGGAATATCTCAATTCCACAAAATATGGGAATATCTCAATCCCACGAAATATGGGAATATCTCAATCAATCCCACAAAATATGAGATTTCATTATGTAGGTGATTTTGGATAGCACCAAATCCAACAGATGTCAAGATGATCAATTTGAGGATATTAGGGAACTGATTTCATGTTGTCTTTTAGTTATGTTTTTAGGTTAGAATATTGAGATTTAATGAATTGATTTGATTCTTTGTATCTGTATAAAAAAGAAAACTGTTTTCTCCTGTCCTTTAATGTTGGCTTAGGGTAAAATATTGATATTTAATAAATTGACTTAATTTTGTACTCTACTCAATTTTTTATTCTGATTCCCAGTTTTGGATCATTGATCTTGCTGTAGATGGAAGTTCTTGTTTTTCTTATGTATCTTTTTTTTAATCTTTGATAGAGAGCATATTCTCCGTCATAATAGAGAGGGAGGGAGAGAGAGAAAGGTAGAGCATATTCTCCCTGATATTACTGTCAAATGTGCTCATTATTGTGGGTTCTAAGTGCCAAAATTTGGTGGTATGAATGTCTCCTAAATCTCAACATTGGGCTTAGGTCATTTGCTCATATGCGTGAGTGTGCACACATGTATGTATATTTGCACTTCCACTTCTTTGTCCATATGTATAAATATGCATGCATGCATATACTAATCATTGATATCTTTCTTCACTTGTATTTATATATTTATATTTCAAAAATGGGCGGTCAATGCCATGCCTGTTTCTTAGAATAGAAGTAGAAAATGTTTAAAAAGTTCAGTAAAGAAGATAACTTTTGACAGTCTGTCAGGTGTGATTATTACTAGTAGGTGCTTATGAACCTTGTCTAATTAAGGACCCAGTTTTGGTGGGGGCCTAATGCACCTCAAGTGGTGTGGGCCCTACAGGGAGATGGGATTTTCGGGTGCAATTTGCCTGTCCAATCATATTGGATGGAGCAGATGTGAGGACCTCACAATAACATGAGCGGGCCTTGACACACCAAGCACTATTCCTATTATGAATGTTGGGTTTTTCACCAAGGATATCAATGGTTTGATTTTTACCTTGGATGTGAATAGATGGAGGTTTTTCTTTGGGAAGAACATAAATAGTACGATATTTATAACCATATTTGGTACTTCATATAGGGGCACCTTGAAAGGGGTTAATGGGATCCATCGTGACATAACTACATTTAATTCTGTGCATTAGAACTTGCGTTCTTGATGTGTGTTGATGATGATCATGTTTGAAGGCTTGAATCAATGAAATCAATGACCATCTATTTAATTTCAGAGATATGCCAAAAAAAAAAAGACGGATTTCTTCTTGCAAGTATCTGTTTTCTCTCTCTCTTGGGATTTCTTCTTGCAAGTATCTGTTTTCTCTCTCTCTTGGGATTTCTTCTTGCAAGTATCTGTTTTCTCTCTCTCTTGGTTACTTCTAAGAGAATACCCATATTCTCTTAGGTTTTTCCTGGCCCTTAATGCAAACCAAGAACTCATGGAAATAATTCTATGAGAAACTGTACCATGCATAGCCTGTGTATGGTATATGACACTGTTGCGGCATCCACTATGCATTCTAGATGATGGACGGTGGAGATTAACCATTGTTCCAGATAGTGGCCAATGTCACCTGGGTACCATTGATCTCCACCATTTGTTTTTCAGAATGGATGGTGGATGCGGTTGACATTGAACTTTTCCCTGTAGTATTTCATGCTTGAAGGCCATTCTAAGCACTGCACTATACTTCTCAAAGGTAAAAAGTTATCTGGTTATGTCATGGTTTTTCAACTCCATGGAACCCCAAGATAGTATTTAATTTCTCATGGTACAATCCATGAATTATACTGGTCGGAAATGGGAAAAAAAAGGAAAAAAAAAAGGGGAAATTTCGTATCGAATTCTAATTCCTCATATTATTTCATGGTAGGCCCTTTTTCTGTTTTTCTTTCAAGCGGCATAAAGAAACCCTAAAGATTTCACTATACCCCATTATCTCTTATCTCCCCCTTTTATAGACTTTTGATTATAAAAATTAGCCCCAACAAATGTTTTTATATCATTTCAACCCAAATACTTTTTTAATGGGTGGAAAGGGGAAAATAGAGTTAAAAAAGTTTTTGGGTGAAATAGTATAAAAAGATTTGTTGGGGTTAATTTTTATGGTCAAAAGTCAGGAGATAAGAGAAGAGCGGATACAGTGAAATCTTTAGGGGTTTCCTTATGCCGCTCGAAAGAAAAATATGAGGGTCTATTATGAAATAAAATGAAGAATTAGAGGTTCTATACGAAATTTTCCCAAAAAAAAAATACAACCAATGAATAATGAGTCGGGACACTGGCCACAAACTCTATTCTTGGAGACATTGTTGGTTTAACCAATCATCAAGTGATTTATATGCTTCATCTAAGCATATTTTGTATTTTTTTTAAAATACCCCCTTTCTGTTAATTGCAGTTTAAACTAAACAATGCTTGGTTACTCTCTCTCACGCACCTTGTGGTTTAGGACTAAACAAGGAAGATGACTAGTGCAGGATGGTGGAGCGGTGTACTATCTCTCGAATAGCCTGTCTTGTGACAAGTATCCTTTTAGTGCATGAGCCATGAATGAAAATATGTAAGAACTCTCTGATTTTAGTTTAGGTTTATACATCCCCAAATGTAATTAAGCGACTACCTTATTTTCTGTTATTTTCGTTTTTAAGTCAAAATAAGGCTGTCACGTGTAGTGTACAATGTCTGACTTTATGATATTATATACTGGCTTTTAGTGTAAGAGAAGAGATTGAGCTTGATTATTTAAATAGCACATATTGATATGTGAGGCTGTGCTTCTCTTGTTTTGTTTTTCTGAGTGATTTTTTCTTTGTTAGTTATATTGATGATGGCACTGGCACATGAGCCTTTCTGAAAAATCACTTCAATGAGGCTTCTAAAACTCTTTAATGCTTTCATGAGGGAAACTATGGCATAATGTCAATGGTATTTGGTACACATAGGGGAAGGCACTGCTGTGCTTATTTTGTTTTATTTTTCTGGTGATTTTTGCTTCATCAGTTATATTGATGATTGCACTCGCACATGAGCCCTTTCTGAAGAATCGCATCAATGAAGTTACTTTTTGATGCTTTCATGAGGGAAACTATGGCATACACAGCCTCTCAATGGCATTTGGTGCACGGCAGGGGAATCCACCATGTGTTCTTAATGATGGACTCTAGGGATTAAACTGTCTGTCATTGAGTACTACAGTTAGTTTCCTCTGTCCATCATTGGGAACAAATGGGGGATTCCCCGACAATGTGTTGTATACCATTCACAAGTTGTGTGTCACTCTCTCCCATTTTAAAAAGTAATTAAGAAGCAATTTAGGAGAGCATATAAATATATTATGCAATGGAAGTATAAATGCAGTCAGTGAAACGAAGAGCTGCCTTGAAGCAGATATTCGAAAACGATTTGGTTGCTGAACAGAATGGCTGATAATTGAGTTACTCAATTACTTTTAAAAGAATTACCATTGAATAATAAATAACTATTTTTAGCACAATTGAGTCCCCAAAATTTTTTGCTTTGATGCTGTTCTAATTACTGCTCAAGATAACATGCGCTCTATGTTTATCTGTGCAAGCAACCACGGTGAGTCTCCTATTCCAAAGAGGAAGACTTAGAATATAACTATTATGTATCTATGCATCTGTCTTTGCTTTTGGTTTTTTTGTTCTAATCACTTTGTTGGGACTCTTTTGTTTTTTGTTCTAGTTATTTTTTTGGAAAAATATCTCCGTGCACCTTATTTTGAAATTTTATTTCCCAGCATAATCAAGGTTAAAAATCATTTTTTGTGGCATAGAGATCCTATATAGTATATCTTATAACCATTTGGACCAATTTTATCTTTTTGATTGCCCTTTTTTCAGCCCAAATAAAAGTAAGCAAGATGATTGTGTCTATTCCTTTCTAAACCCCTTTTTCTCTATAACGAGTTTTGTTCTCTCTCTAAAAAATCCTTTCTAAATCCCTTTCTCTCGCTATAACGTCTTTTGTTCTCTCTAGAAAAGAGCTGAAAGGGAAATGTGCGAGAGAAAGAGATAGGTTTAAGGTAGAAACACAAGAGAGAGAAGCTCATTATAGAGAGAGGGGTTTAGAAAGATAGTTATTTTTTTTTTGTTTGGGTTAAATAGGGGCAGTCAAAAGGGATAAAGATGGTTTAAAGGGAAGATATACACTGTGGGATCTCTATATCTGTAGAAATGTAAAATTAAATCTGACACTCTTCTAGAGAGAACTCTAGAACCAAATCAGACACGTCTATAGAGAGAACTCTGTAAATGGAAGTTGCACATAGTTAGGTTAGAGAGAATTGAGAGGAACTAGAGAGATGAAGAGAACCGGAAAAGAGGACCTTGATATAAGAGGCAGAAAACAGAGGAATTAGAGATTAGAGAGAGAAAGTTAAGCGGAATTAGAGAAACTAAAGGTCCATTTGGTCCGTATGAAATTATTTTCCTGAACATATTTTCACATGAAATAATTTTCCCATGTGATTATGTGAGGTTTTCCGCGTTAATTGGTCCCAACACGACTTTCCACACCAATGGCAGTCAATTTGTGTGAACGAAGCCTCATGCCTAATCACATGGGAGGTGTTCCATGTGAATATTTTCTCACGTATTTCATTGTGAAAATGTTTTCACACGAATCAAACGTGCTCTGATAAAAAACAATAGAGGAGAGAGAGTAACGTTCTCAGCTAACCAATGAGATGGACATAACTTATTAATACTAACATTATGATATTATATTAAGAACTTGCAATATTGAGAGTCCATTTTCTTGGTCCTGTTATGTATGTGCTATGGCCAAAAATCTCTTTTATTGGACAAATATCAATCTCCAATTGATGAGTCTTTTAATGAAGGGAAAATTTTATATACAGCCGAGGCTCTAAACAATCACATTTGAGTCTCTCTAAAAAATTTCACTAGGCGAGATTGTTTTGACGTTAAAAAATCTTCAAATTGATCATCTCGACATCAAGATGCATGGACATGAGAAAAATATTGATTTCAAGTTTTGGAAATAATACATTTTGTAATGCATTTTTTTACCGTCAATTTTCAAGATTTTTAAGTTTTTATAGATACGTCGATCTACATCATTTTTGAAGCTTTAAACTTTATAAAGTAAGATTTAGCAAAAAACTTCTAAATAAATTTAAAAAGTAAAAGAAAAATCTATTTGTGATCGGGGGTAATTTTGAAATAATGTAACACAGATGGGAATATATAAAAATGAGTATTCATGGTCAAAACACTATCCAATCTTTGCCAAAATGATAGAAAACATTAAAAAAAATATCACAAATAAATTCCTAATTTCTTGGAATTTTTATAATTTTCTTGAATTTCTTTGTTAATATCTCGGAGTGGGACACCCAACTCCGAGAAACTCGGGCTTGCTAGGGTGGCAGAACTCGGAGGGAGCAGTCAAACACCGGTTTACATAAAATTACGCTTATTTTCAAATTCCTAAGTTTCCAATTTACCAAATTTTTTATTTTGAGAGGTTAGATGGTTCAGTGTAGCATTATCTGCTTTAACGCCCTTAGAACCCAATCTTGGGAGTATTTTTAGTACTTCAAAGTTTTAGGGATATAATCTCTTCAACCAAAAATCCAAACATAAAAATCAAATGCACTATTCATGGTTTTGAAGAAAGACAAACATCATAAGGTTGAACACAAGCTATGGTCTGATTGATGGTATGATCTTTGATTGAGTAGTATGACATAGCACAATTCATGTGGTCGACTCCAAATAGTTGGGAGGACAAGGCTCATATAATAATAATAAAGATTGAACAAAGACCGTTAAGTTATGAAACTATAATATCTAAATATTTGAAAACTCCGTAATAAAATTATTACATGAAACAATTATAATAAATTTTAATCAGATCCCAAAATTTCAAATCCAAACAAGTGTGTCTTTCACTTGAAGGAGTAAGTACATTGTTGCTCCCAAGGAGCACACTAGAAGCGCTCTTTTTGGTTCTTTTTTTCTCCTCTTAGGACTATGAAGTTTCATCGTTCTCTCGTTCATCAAGAAGATATATATTTTCTTGAAGATCCCATTCCAAAAAAAAAAGGAAAATGATATATCTTTAAGTGTTGTTTGGACCTTCCAATTTTAGCTCCAACCTTAAAAAGCTCGGCTACAATGTGCTATGAACGGGTGATATGCTAGGTTGGTGCATTATTAGGATCGTCAATGGTTCAGATTGAACCAGCCTCCAAGGGCTAAAAATGAATTTCATTTTTAATTTTGATTTTTCATTTAAAAAATATTAATCTGGTTTTATCTTCATTTTTATAATTAGAATTAGATAAAAATAATAAAAATATTTTGAATAAAAAATATTGGTCAAAATAAATTTTAAGATATTTTAATCATTTTTCTATCTAAATTAATTTTTAAGCATTTTTATTTATCTTTGTTTTAAAAAGATAAACCTATATACACATTTCTACTATACATTTCCTTATTTCAAAATACCACTTAATGAGGTCGTCATTTTGGCTTTAGAGACAGAAGGAGCAATAATCGAAAGATAAAACAACCGCATTGTCTTAACACCAATAGTATGCCACTTATTTTATGAGATGAAGTTTTTATGAGGCCTAAGCCTAATGAAAACAAAATAAAGGTTCACTTCAAATCTTTGTCTAGAAAGCTCTTTCGATATCGAAACTCTCTATGATGGCTCTAAAGTAAAATTTTAACACTGGCAACAAAATTTAAAATTCAAAAAGGTACATATCTTGTATATATGTGAATACTTATTTTTAGGGTGAAATAGGTGGTCTAGATAATTTTTTTTGTAATGAACACTATTTTTTAGAGCTTGAAATCTCAATTTGTTTTCGAAATCATAATGTTGATACCTGATGATCGATTTAAAGGTTTTCTTACACTTGAATTGCAATTTACAATGAGTCATGAAGTGAGGCTTTATTTATTTTCATACAGCTTGCAGTGCTATCAAACCATTTTCCTAAAAACTGCTTATTTGATGATGGAAAAAGTTTGTATAAGGTTGCAACCTTATACTGTTTAAGAAAAGTGCACCTCAAAAATCCTACAGTGGAGAATGTTTCTACATAGGAGAACCCTCAAACCGATCATTTCGACCTTGAGATAAATGGACCTGAAAAAAAAAAAAAATTTTTAAGTTAAAAAAATAGTACATATTGTCAAAAGTTATCTAGATCGTTTGTTTTCAAATATTTATTGATATGCTCGATCTGTATTATTTTTTAAATTTTAAAACCAAAAAACCAAAAAGACATATCTAAATAAATGTTATAAGTGCACCTGACTTCGATAGTACATTGAGGCAACGTTACGAAAAAAAAAAACCTTACCCTTTTTTGATTGCTTAA